AGGAGGAGGAGGAGGAGGAGGAGGAGGAGGAGGATAGTCTCGGATGTCCTTTAGGGCACGGGTAAAGTGTTACAATTATCGTGCCCTATCAAGAACATGTCATATGCAATCAACTGAGATGCATGATCTCCATGGCAAATACCAAACACTCTCCTCCCTAACAAACTACTGCCAAATAACCAGAGACACATGGGGAGGCAGGAGGCGGATCGCCAATACATCCGCGTACTCCCATGGATGCAACACATATTACGATGCGCTACTAACCCGCCTGTGCTTTGCAGCACTCGCGCCAATACCCTCCCCTGCACGGCCTATGGCCACTCATGGCCTACACGCGGGCCCTGTGTACGGCGTATGCTAAGCCCCACACCTCTATGCCTGATACGGCCACCTATAGCCCGCGTGCTACCGCACAAGCCCCCAGGCCTGTCACGGCCTACCATGGTCTGCGAAGTATCAAGATGTCAAAGCCTGATCCTTCCTTACTACTCCTCCACGACGTGGCTGGGGGACGGGACCAGAAGGCGGAGGAGGAGGAGGAGTATGAATAGGAGGGGGACAAGAAAGAGGAGGTGGAGGGGTCGTGACGCATCCAAACTACATCGGGGCAGAGCACAACAGGGGGTATCATTAGTATTCTCCTCCTCCTCCTCCTCCTCGTCATCCTCCCCCTCATCCTTCCTCCTCCTCGGCACAACCTGGCCCTGGGCCTGCAGAGACGGAGGTGGACGGGCACCTCGGGGGGGCCAGGGCGGGTAAAAGCAGACCCCCCCCTTTGGGTGCAACGCCCCCTGCCGCGCTCGGGAAGCGGCAAACGCGCTGCAGGCGGACCCCCCCTTGTGGGCGCAACGCCTCGGCGGAGAAAATGACACAATAAACAGAAGCACGCGCATGCGTCATGTTGGCAGACCCCCGGCTCGAGCTACCCCCCGTGTGCTACGAACTGGGGCTGGCGAGTTCGATTGCCATTCAACGTTTCTGTGAATATGGTGCTTCCCAGTGCCAAGTTTCAGAGAAAACCATAATAATAAAAAACAAGGCTGCCCATGACAGCGAACGATGTCCATGTGACCCCCCCCCTTCGCCTAGAATCTTAGACGGCAGTGCCTACTCACACTTGTCCAGGCGGGGCAATTTGCCACCGCCTCGCCACATTGCGGAGGAGGCCGCCCCACGCTTGCGAAGCACGATTATATGCCACTCGCCGCCCCCGTACCTGCCAAGAGAGGCGTCGACCTGTTGCGGCGAGGAGCTCGGACTTGCCCCACAACAACAATCCCGAATATACCCCCCGGCGAAGAGCCCGCCCCACGACGGTGAAGCACGGTCATGCTCATCAGCAGAAGGGAGATGCTACTTACACGTAACATGAAAGGCCAATGTTTGCCCCCATCCCGCATGGCCCTCAGGCCTTCTGCGTTTACAGAACGCATAGGTTATTCGACACGCTCGCCACCACATACCCTTCTAGGCCTATGGCCACCTATGGCTTACACGAGGGCCCGTCGCACTGTGGCTGTTAAACCCACAACAGCATGCCTGATACGGCTTACCATTGCCCGCGTGCTAAACCCACACACCTGCAGGCCTATTACGGCCGAGTACGGCCCGTGCTCTCACCGCATGGCAACGCGTGAACCTACCTTGCTGTGCCCTACTACTCCCCCACGGCGTCCCCTTGCCTGACCAGAGAGGCGTCTCCCTGTTACGGTGAGGAAAGCGGCCTGGCCCTATACACGTATTTGCCCCCCCGGCAAGAGCCCGCCCCACGACTGTGAAGCACGGTTACATACAGCTGGAAGAGCGCATGGCGCCTGTGATGTAACAAAATAACAAGGGGCCTGCCAAAGCACGTTAATTACCCACTGCCTAGCCTCGTCTCGGAGGAGGGCCGCACCGCGAGGAGGAGGAGGAGGAGGAGGAGGAGGAGGAGGAGGAGGAGGAAGGGAGGAGGAGGAGGAGGATGATGAGGAGGAGGAGGAGGAGGAGGAGGAGGAGGAGGGGAGGAGGAGGAGGAGGAGGGTGGAGGAGGAGGAGGAGGAGGAGGAGGAGGAGGAGCAGGAGGGGAGGAGGAGGAGGGGGACCAGTGTGAAGCCAAGAGGCCCGCACGCTGGCCCTCCGGGAGGTCCCGGCGCAGGCCCTCCTGGAGGCCCTCGGCGCGCGGGCGTGCAGTGGGGCCCCGCGGCTGCCCCGCGGCGGCCTCGCGGAGCGCGGGCCCTCCTCCTTTTCCTCCTCCTCCTCCTCCTCCTCCTTTCCTCCTCTCCTCCTCCTCCTCCTCCTCTCCTCCCTCCTCCTCCTCCTCCTCCTCCCCCTCCCTCCTCCTCCTCCTCCTCCTCCTCCTCCTCCTCCTCCGACTCCTCCTCCTCCTCCTCCTCCTCCTCCTCCTCCTCCTCCTCCTCCTCCTCCTCCTCCCCCTCCCTCCTCCTCCGCCTCCTCCTCCTTTCAGGACCTGACCCTGGACTCGTCGGAGGACGAGGGGGCGCCGGGGCCGGAGGCG